CTTCTCCAGTCTCACCGTCTGCGTCGCTACCGTTGTGACTGCGGGGGGATGTTGAGTATCGTGATTATTAGGAAAGCTAGGATAGCGTAGGATATTATTCTACCTTGCATTGTACTCCAAGATGATCATGTACTCCTATATATATGCCCATGAGGCTCAAGCAATACATCGAATTATTTCACCAATCCCTCTCTCCCTTCCAACAAGCACGATCATCATCTTTCAGAGTAATGTCCAAAAAGGCAAAGAAAGTTCAGAGTTCTCAGCCTTTCGGTCAGTACATGCTATAAAATTCACCTTCTGTCATACTGAATTTCTTCAAGGAATAAAAAGGAACTATTACTGACCTATTGGATAGCATATTTTTTGTTTATCAATATAGCTGAGTATATCCTACAAAAGCTATTAAATTGTGCTTTCTTAACATCTAGGGCCCGGGGGAGGATTGGAATTGAAAGATGGTGTTGATGCATCTGGAAGGCCAGCCAAGGTTAGTTTTCAGGCCGAAGAATGTGTTTTCTTTCTACTCCCTCCGATCCAAAATAAGGGTCGCAGTTTTGAACTGGGGTTAGTTCAAAACCGCGACACTTATTATGGATCGGAGGTAGTAATAAGTATCATTATTCATCACTTAATATTGCACATTTTTATCAGGGGAAGGGCGTCTACCAGTTTGCCAGCAAGTATGGAGCAAATGTTGATGGGTACAAGTAGAACATTCACCACAATATAAAAAATAAATATAAAAGCAGGCTTTACTGTTTAGAAATTACTCCCTCCGTCCCATAAAAACGTCTTACATTATGGGACGGACGGAGTAGATGATAAATTTTTCAAGAAAATGCCCAGCTACAGCACTGGCGGGATGAAACAGTGAAAATAATAGCATTCAGAATTCATCTACTGCCCTCAGTTTTCATTGCATATATGATATTTGTGATGTCTTTATTGTAGCCCAATATATAACCCAGAAGAATGGTCTCCAAGTGGTGACTACTATGCGGGAGGTAAGCACACACAAGTATCCGGAAACAATGATCTTAAAGCTCTCGCTTCAGTTGACTCTTTTCTTTGGGAAAGAAATAACATTCATGCCTTGGTTTATGCAGGAAAGACAGGGTTGTTGCTCTGGGTGGTTACTCTTGCTGGAATTCTGCTGGGTGGTGCTCTGCTTGTTTACAATACTAGTGATTTGGCTTCTTGAAGCCTGGTATAGCAAACCAGATTATGTACCATGCAAGGATTTACATCATCTAGGTAGATATTCGGACTATATGTTGTGCAATTGTGTACCATGCAAGGATTATGGACCATGCAAGGATCTCCTTATACTATACTTAATTACCAAAAGCGATAAGTTTCCAATATGCAAATAATGGTCTTATATGTTGTGCAATTGATGTAATCAAGACTAAATAATCAGCAAAATGCTACGCCTTCAGCTAACAAGGCAGTGGATATGAGTGCACAGAGTCTGACTTGAACAAAATAGCTGAACATGACACAACTGAAATATGGGACAGCTCATAAGGAAATTGTTCAATTTGTTTTCTCTTAGCACGTACCCGCTAATGCTCTGCATAGCATTTGGTTCCAGCGTGTTACAAGAATCAATCAAATCAACATCATAAACCATTTTTTGCACTAGCAAAACAGAAATATTTTTGCTCTACTGTACCAAAAGAATTTCATTATATTGTAGGGACCTCGACATATGGCGTTACAGTACTACAAGTGACATGCACCTAAGCATGTTGTTAGCTGGACACCCACCCTATTCATTTTGCTTGAAACTTCAAAAGCCCTTCTGTATCATGGCACCTCAATCTTGACATCGACAACTTGCCCATCTGAATCGTGGGAGCCTGGACGAGTGGATTGCTCAACTTCTTTGATGCACGCCACATGGGTAGGTACATCAGAAGGCTTCAGTTGAGGGTCTGAACAACCATCACCATTTGTGCTTTGCAGATGACCTTGTTCCAACTGCAAAGCACTCTCTAGGTGCCAGAGGACTTCGCCCATCGAAGGCCGGTTCACCCCCTCATCTGCAAGGCATTTTTCTGCTATCTCGCTGAATGTTCTGATGGACTCCAGTGTGTAATTTCCATCCAATCGAAGGTCGATTATGGTCTCAAGTAACTTGTGCCTTTGCCTGTTGAGAGCCCAGTCAGCAAGGTTTATCTGGTCTCTTGGCAGGGTTGGATTTATGACTGGTCGAGCACACAGCACTTCAAACAGCACGACACCAAAAGAGTACACATCTGAACTTGGCGTTAACTGCTGTCTCCTATAGTACTCTGGATCGAGGTAACCAAAACTCCCTTTGACAGCAGTACTAACATGAGTATGATCTAAAGCTGGACCATCTTTTGAGATGCCAAAATCTGCCATCTTGGCAACAAGGTTGTTGTCTAACAAAATGTTGGTAGTCTTGACGTCCCTGTGGATTATACCTCTGTCAAGCCCAGTGTGAAGGTAGTGAAGCCCTCGTGCTGCGCCGATACATATTTCGAGCCTTTGCTTCCATGTAAGAGCAGGAAGGTCACTTCCATAAAGATGGCTCCTTAATGTGCCATTTGCCATGTGCTCATAAACTAAGACCATCTCGTTTTGCTCATCACAATAGCCAATCAAGGGCACAAGGTGCCGGTGCCGCAACCTTGAGAGCATCTCGATCTCAGTTTCGAATTCCTTCACACCCTGACCCTGGTGAGAATCTGTGTAACCCCTCTTAATTGCCACCCGAGTGCCATCCTCCATTATACCCCTGTAGACCTTGCCAAAGCCTCCAACCCCAATCACCAAGGACTCATCAAAGTTCACAGTGGCTGTTCTGATTTCTGCAATGGTGAACCGCCTGCCCATCCTTTTGCTCCCAAATGCCCCAGCCGTGAGAAGAGTTGGAGAACGGGTATGTGCAGCACCATGGGGATTGTCCTTGGCTTTGCTGGCTGAACTATTTTTCTTCCGTCGCAGATTGAAACATAAATAAAGAGCAGCAGCAATTGCGATAAAAATTATCAGACCGGAAGCAGCACCAATTAGCACCCACTTGGGGCTCCGTTTTGGTTTGCTTGTGCCACCACTGAAGCCTCCAATCCTGACGGTTGGATGGGCAAGATTTCCTTCCCGGCTGACCTTAAAGATCTCCATGCCATTGAGAAGAGCATCAGCAGCCGCGGAACCTGCTGAAGACTCAGACCCCAGCTGAACCCAAAGAGTGTCCATCTGCGGTGAGGCAGCATCAAGGAAGTCTTCATAAAAGGCCTTGTTCTTGCCCCCAGCTCTGGCAAGCACATCATAGCCCTCTGCAGCGGTCTTGTTGTTTATGTAAATCTTGAACTTGCGTTGCTCGGCCTTGTCATACTGCAGCTCGCAGAAATGCAGCCGGACCAAGTAATCAAAGCCAGGGTCAATGTTAAAGCTCCATGAGACATTGAACTTCTTTCCCAAGACCGAACTCTCTGTTGGCACCCTTGCACTCTGATAGAGCCTCAAAGGGGCTACCGTGGGATCATCAGCAGACACATAACTTATGTTGGAAGAGTTGAAGATGGAATTCGCGGCGTTCAGAGAGAATATGAAATGGTCATCTTTATCCCACCTCCTCCACAATCCTGGATCCTCTTTCCTCGTCAGTACATCTCTGCATCCCACACACAGCCTGTACATGGTCTCGATCCCGCCGCCGTCGAGGCTAAAAGGGCCTTTCAACCCATGAGCATCCACCTTGTTGACTGAATCAAAAATAGAGGTGCCAGACACAGGGAGAACCTCCATGGCATTGATGAAGGCGAAGGACCCTTCATCGGGGGTGAACTCAATGCCCAGTTTACCAGAAGTGACATTGAGAAGGTACTCCTTGACGATGACGCTGCTGGTTGAGTTGATCTGGGAATCCCTCCAAGAAATCTCCCCGTGGACACTGAACTTGGAGAGCAGCCTCAGGCCATTTGCCGCGACACTGAAGATGGGCTCCTGGGCGCCGAGATTGGCGAACTGCTGGCTGAAATGGAGGCGGAGGAAGTAGCTCCCGGGGGCGACGGCGAGCCTGTAGCTGGAGGAGGCGTTGAAGACACGGGCGGTCTTGTACAAATCTCCGTACGGGTCTTGTTCTCCATCAACTCCCGGAGCCGGAGCCGGAGCCGGAGCCGCCGAGGCGATGGCTCCGGGGAAGCTGAGCGTGAAGTTGTTGGAAGGGGAAGAATCCCCAATCCATGTCCTGGCGTCGACGCTGGTGGTGGAATCCGAGGCGCAGTTGATGAGGATCGGCTGGGGCTGCGCTCGCGCATTCCCCGCGGCCAAGAACACCAGCAGCACCAGGATCGACAGGAAATTGGCGGAGGAATTCATCACGACCCTCCGACGCCGCAATTTGGAGCGGATAAACCCTACTCGCTACTCGGGTCACCAGTTTTTTATTTTATTTTTTTGCTCGTCCGTCGAGAAATTGCAACCTGCGAGAGCCAAGCAGAACCGCATTGGTAAGTAATTAACCTAGAGTGATGATAAGGCTACGGATGGCCAGAGATTAAGCGTAAGAGAACAAGAACAAGAACAAGAACGCGACTCAGGAACCGGAAGGCGAGAAAGAAAGAAAGGTTCCACTGACCTGAGGAGTCGTGGGTTGTTGCTCGATCTGGAGAGCGCTCTCTCTCTCTCCCCCAGCAAAGCAAATCAAGAGCAGCTAGCGCTGGAAGAAGAAAGAAAGCTCCAAGCCGAGAGAGACAGACAGAGAGCAACAAATGGCAAGCCGTCCTCTTCTGTTTAAGCTAAGCTAGCTTGGGAGGGAGGGAAGAGGCCCCAAACCAAACCAAACGGTTGCCGCTAATAGAACTAGTAGTATAATTGGGAAATCAGGCGCAGGCCTGCAGCTGATTGATTCATTGATTAATCCTGTCCTGGACCTGGAGAGGAGACACGGACAGGGAGAGGTATCTATCTGCTCTCAGGAGGAGGTGGGGATTGCGATTCTTGTGTGGATTCGGCTAGCTCCCACATGACCTGTGGGGCTATTTTTGAAACTGAGCTCACCAAAACAAAGCTGATGTTATTTATTAGCTGGATGATGCAGTGCACTGGCTAGCTGGGACCCATACCAGTACCACTGGGCACTGCCATTCTGCACCGTCTCTTGGCTGTTGATCACCTTTTTGCTCTCTACTTTGCACAAACAAACTGCTTTCCCTGTTAGACTACAAACTGTTTTCCCTGTTAGACTGTATATATGTAGCCTTTGTACACATATATTGTAACATTGTATTGTACCCCGTGGGTACCTCTATATAATGAGAGAGCCACACTCCGTGTAGGGTGTCGAGCAGTTCCCAACATATTATGTTTTACATGGTACCGGTTTATGTTAAGATGGCTTCCGCTGCCTCTACTGCCGCCGCCGCCGTCGTTGTGCCGACCTCCGTCGCCGCCTCCGCCGTCGTTGCGCCGGCCCTTGGGTCGCCGTTCCTGGCCTCGCGCCCCCTTGCGATGGCCCATGGCGCTCCTCCATCGCCCGGGCCCCTGATCGGATCGGGCCTCCCTGGCGATCCTGTCGCCTCGCCGAACGTTGCGGCTGGCGATCTGTTCCGTGCGGCGCCCCTACAACTGCTCATGGTGGGCCGCCGTCGCTGTCCTGGATGGCGCCGCCTTCCGGTGCGCCTCCTGCCCCGCACCACTACGGCGTCTCATCGTCCCATCACTACGGTGCGCCACCACACCAACCCTATCCGGCGTCACACCAAACCTACCTGGTGCCGTCGCCGTCGTCTCATGGGGCTACGGCTGTGCAGTCCTACTCGGTGCCCCCGACGCACCTCTACCCTGCGCCGCCCCAACCCTACCTGCTCCGTCGAAGCCGTCCCATGTGGCTGCGGTTGCCCTACAGTATGGGGCGCCATCTGCGGCGTCCTACGGCGCCCCGGCGGAGGGTTCTGTCGGGTCCTATCCGTCCTACTCGGGACCGGCTGCACATCCGTGAATGGGCTTCTACGCACCGTCACATGCTCACGGTGATCAGGCCGCGGTGCCGTTGCTGTTTTACTTCTCACACCTGCTGCCGGTGAAACTCACGCCAGACAACTACTTGTCCTAGCGTGCCCAGGTGTTGCCTCTTCTGCGGAGTCGCTACCTGGAGGGCTACGTCGACGGATCCATCCCGTGTCCGCCTCCTCAGCACCCGGCGTATCATGCATGGGTGGCCCAGGATCAAGCCATCCTCTCCGCCATCTAGTCCTCGCTCGCTCCGAGCGTCTCGTTGCTGGTCATCTTCGCCGCTACGTCTCGGGAGGCGTGGGCGGCTCTTCACACTAGCTTCGCCTCTCAGTCTCAGGCGTGTGCCCACTCTATCCGCATCGAGCTAGGTGAGACCAAGCTTGGTGACCTCAGCATGACGGACTACTTCAACAAGATGAGGGGTCTCGCCGACACACTGGCCTCGATTGGCCAGTCTCTGCAGGACGAGGAGTTCACCACCTTCGTGCTTAACAGGCTTGATGATGATTATGACAATCTCGTGGAGAACGTTCATGGCCGTGATGATCCACTTCCACCTCGCGAGCTTTATGCCCGACTCCTTGGCCGTGAACAGCGCATCAAGGCGCGCCATGTCTCCCCGGGCTTCGCCTCCGCCAATGCCGCGACTCGTGGCAAACCTCAACGGTCATCATCTTCAGGTGGCAAGCCGGCATCGTCCTCACAGCCGGCCTCACGTGGCAATGAGCCATCCATCACGGGTGGCAACCGACCGGTTGCTTGCTGCTCCTCCTGCGGTGCCCCGCAGGCCTGCCAGTTGTGTGGCCTTGAGCGCCACATCGCCTCTCGCTGTCATCGTCGCTACAAGCAAGATTTTCTGGGCCTCGGCAACGATGGTAAAGGAAACGACAAGCAGGCCGCCGCCGCCGCCGTGACGAGTCATGATCATGGTCGCACTCCGTCCTACTCCATTGATCCTACATGGTATATGGACACCGGAGCTACCAACCACCTCAGCGGCGAGATGGGCAAGCTCTCTACTCAGGAGCCATATCATGGTCATGATCAGGTGCACACCGTCAGTGGAGCAGGTATGCGCATCTCTCATGTTGGTCAGGCTTCTCTCCTTGCACACAATTTTCGCAAACTACATCTTTCCAATGTCCTTCGTGTTCCCTCTGCTACGCATAGTTTGTTGTCTATTCCTCAACTTACACGTGATAATAATGTCCTTGCTGAGTTTCACCCTTTTCGTTTCTTTATCAAGGATCGGGACACGAGGGCCGTTCTGCTTAGCGGTCGTCTTCGCCATGGCTTGTACGCACTTGATGCGCCACGCACACCCTCCATGCAGTCTTCTCCTCAGGCGTTTAGTGGTGTTCGTGTGTTGCCCACTCACTGGCATGCGTGCCTTGGTCATCCCGCAGCTCCCGTAGTTCGTCATGTGTTGCATCATTATGAGCTACCAGTTGTTTCCAATAAAACTGCTGAAACTATCTGTGATGCCTGTCAGCAGGGCAAGAGTACGAACTTCCGTTTTTAGAGTCTAGTCATGTTGTGAAACAACCTCTTGAGCTTGTGTTCCGTTAGTGGCCACAATTATTATGTTAGTTTTACTGATGCTTATAGTCGGTTTACTTGGCTATACTTATTAAGCGCAAGTCTGATGTGTTCAATGTTTTTATTTAGTTTCAAGCACGCGTTGAGCGTCTCCTTAAATAGAAAATCATCCATGTTCAATCCGACTGAGGTGGTGAATACTACAACCTCAACTCGTTTTTTAACAAACTCGGGATTTCGCATCGCGTGTCATGTCCTCATACACATTAGCAGAATGGAACCGCCGAACGTAAGCATCGTCACCTTGTTGAAACTGGCCTAACCTTACTAGCTCATGCATCCGTTCCGTTTCGGTTTTGGAGTGATGCTTTCTCCACAGCCTGTTATCTTATTAATAGGCTTCCCTCATGATTTCTGAAAATGCAAACCCCGCTTGAACTCTTGCTCAATGAAATTCCAGACTACACGTTCTTCAAAGTGTTTGGGTGTGCATGTTGGCCTCACCTACGTCCATATAACAAGCGTAAGCTAGAGTTTCGGTCTAAGAAGTGTGTTTTTCTTGGGTATAGTTCCCTCCACAAAGGGTACAAGTGCCTACATGTTCCCACAAATCACGTCTACATCTCTCGTGACATTGTGTTTGATGAAAATGTGTTCCCCTTTCGTGCACTTCCGACTCACTCTACCACTCCTATATCATCAGTGCCTGTGTCTATACCTTCGCCTGATCAATTTGTGGATGTTGCATATGCCCTTGCGTTGCTTCCTAATCATGCTGCAGGTATTGGACGCGACACCCGTCTCGAGCTTCTTGATGAACAGGTCATGGACGTGACTCGCGATCCGGACGTGCATGCGCATGCATGCCGGGTGGAGCCCGCCAACCCGCCACCACCTCACCTGTGGAGGCTGCCTCGCGGGTGCCCGGCTCGCCCGACACACATGCGCCCGTCTCGCCTGGCTCGCGGGTCACCGACTCGCCTAGGCCGGCGCTGGCCTCGCCCGACCCAGTGTGTCCGCCTCGCCTGGCTCGCGGGTCGCCATCTTGCCTGGGCCGGCGCTGGCCTCACCTGGCTTACGGGCCTCTGTCTCGCCTAGGTTGGTGCTGGGCTCGCCGGCTGCCGCCTCACCTGGACCGGTGTCAGCCTTGCCCGCCCTGACGGGCCTGTCGCCTGGACCGGCTGCCTCGACTGGCCCGGTAGTGCTATCCCCTGCCCCGACCAGCCCTGCTTCGGTCTCCAGTTCGCCCACAAGCTCTGTCTCGACCTCCTCTGAGCCGGACTCGCCTGGTTCCATGCCGGCCTCGTCGCTGCAGACTGCGGTCGCTCTTCGTCCTCGAACACGAAGCCAGCACGACATTTTTCATCCGAAGGAACGCACGAATGGTACGGTTGCATGGCTTGCTGTGTGCATGGCCCATACTACTGCCGATCCCACTGCAGAGCCTCGTCACTTTCAGGCTGCACTGAGTATCCCTCACTGGCGTGCTTCCATGGAACAGGAAGTTCAGGCTCTGCACAAGAATGACACCTGGCATCTTGTTCCCCCAGTACCTGGTGTCAATGTCATTGATTCTAAGTGGGTGTTTAAAGTCAAGAGACATGCTAATGGTTCCATCGAACGATACAAGGCACGGCTAGTCGCCAAGGGTTTCAAACAGAGGTATGGTCTTGATTATGAAGACACGCTCAGTCCAGTCATCAAGCCTACTACCATTCGATTATTACTGTCTCTTGCTGTTGCTCGTGGATGGTTCCTTCGTCAGCTTGATGTGCAGAACGCTTTTCTCCATGGCATTCTAGAGGAGGAGGTTTATATGCGTCAGC